CCGGGGCTTCTAAAAACACTCAACCCCTCATCAACTGAACCTTAAACTCCCAAACCTGCGCCCTAAAAACTGAAAGCTGAATTACAGTCGGGACACTCCATTCTGTAATTTCTTGGATCCTTATATGACACGATGAGTCCCTTAGACCCATCGTGAACAACATTGTTGCGGATTATGTCAGTGTATACATATGTTTGTGTAAATATCCATACCTACATACATACATGTATGTAACAGCGAAAAACCCCGACAAGCTAAAATAACCTGGAGTTCAGTTTGGAAAAATGTAATCTAAAGTCCTGTGGAGATCATGTAACCATCCAGAGGGCTCCAAGGTGGTAGGTCTACGGCTTGGGTTAAAGGCCTTACGGTTTCAGGGTTTGGGGCTTAGGACTGCCGGGGTTTTGGGGTCTGTGGTATAGGTTTTCAGGGACTGCGGTATAATTAGTTTTGTTCGGGCCAGGGGGTTTAACGAGACCACCTGGAGAGGGCTAGGCGGGAATACTGACTGACGAACATGGCAGCCTCTAAGAGATATTCTGAACTTCCGCTGCCATTCTTGCTTGCGGGTAGAGAACGTGCATCAGCCAAGGCCAAAAGGACGGTTGATGATGTTGATGATGGTAATTGTTTCTTGCGTGGTCTACGAAGGATTTCCTGCGTACTGTTAACTGTTAACTGCTTTCCCGCCCCCGGCGGATGTTTGTTTTTAGAAGGTGCGTTCATTGTCACCGTGGGTGGCAGTATTACATCGCTTAGGAGCAGTCACAACGAGCAGAAATACTGCCGCTTAACATTACACCACTGGCTGAAGCAAGACGAGGCGCGTCTCAAGCCAGCGACGGCATCCAGGCCCACGGCGTATCTAAGTGCAACAAACACAAACGCGGGCGCTCTGGACCCCGAAACTCAAAACCCAGGATCTAAGATGTGATACCAGATGATACCAGGCTCTGCACCAGACACTCTAGCATGTGAAAGCACATGAATGCAGCAAACAATCATTCAAGCTGTGTTTGAAGCGTAATACTTATTGTGTATCTATATATATATATATATATATATGTATCTCTGTCTATGTATATATAAATATACACATATGTACGTATGCGTGTATGCACGTATGTATGCATCTATGTATCTATGTATCTATGTATATGTGTATGTAGGTAAGTATGTATGGATGGATGTATGCATGTATGCATGCATGCATGCATGCATGCATGCATGCATGCATGCATGCATGCATGTATGTGTGTATGTGTGTATATTATATATATATATATATATATTACATACAGACATATACATACATATGTGTTCATTTTCGCAAGCAAGAGCATGCAAGAGCCCGTGCTTTCCCAGTGACGGCTGCCCAGCTCCTTGCGGGTCCATTGAGACAAGGTGGTTCCAGGTGGTAGTGGCGCGCTGCTGGTCTCCTCCTGCCATAGTAACGTGGGAGCATGCGACATAAATCCGGTTTACGAAATCGAAATCGCGTCCAAATCACGTCCGGACGTTCTCTCTGCTGCACTTAGTGTCATATATGGGGCCAAAACTGCCCGACCAGTCAAAACTCATCTAATTCCAGCATGCGGCCTGCCACCATCAAGGCAACAGCATTGCGCCAGTACAGCACACTGCTGGGATCGATCCTCACCGCCTTGCAGCAAGCGATGGCATGGGAGTAACATGAAACTCGGGATGGTAGTTTGTTTTCTGCTGCTTATGCGGCTGTATTGGAGTCCCCCAGTTTCCATGCATGTTTCGCTTGTGAGTCCCGCAATCAAAAGCTGTGGCGACAGATGGAACTTCGATGTCCCAGCCATGTTTCTGGTATGTGGCGGGATTCGCAATTGGCAACGTTCTTTGTGGGATCCGCCTTGAAAGTTTGAAAGAAAGACCCAGCACAAACAGCAATATCATGCCTGGTCCAACGCGTTGATGGCATGCTGGTAGTACTCCTTTGGCAGCACGCCCGTGACAGCACCGAGCCCAGCAGCACAGGCCATGTTGTTCAATGCCTTCCACACTTTGACTTCGTGACACGAACTGATCAAACGGAAAACGCAGGACATCACAGGCCTTGGTGAAGCCTGGGTTTATTGCCAGGGCTTTCTGAAAGTGGGCGATTGAGGCCTGCCTCGGCAGAATCGGGAAGGTGCCGCTGTGGAACCACGCGAGCTTTCTGCTTCGGCTCAAGCTGATTGAAAGGTGATGTCAAGGTCTGCTAACTGCTGCGTAAATTTGTCGGCTTCGTTGCGGCTTTTGCGTGAACCACAGGGAGAGCGCGTAGTCGTGCCAGATTTCTTCCTCCTCGCAAGGCTGTCGATTTAACACATCCCTACAAGGTGCATGGATGCTATGTGTGTGCCTGGCTGAGCAAAGGAGACATGCTTAACAAAGAACACCTATAGTCTCTGAAAAGGGCAAGAATGCCTGCTCCAGTCCCCTGTCCTTCCGGTATGTTAAGTTTCATGTTGGGCACAAGAAGCCCTAATTACTGCATCAGTCCTGAATCGTCAAGGGGCTGAAAAAGCCATTGACGGCCTGGCCGGGCCCATGCACAGCACCAGAGAAGCAGAGGAAGCAATCATGATGCGTCAATGAAACCCCGTGCTATGACATGAGTTCTGCCGCGTTGCTCCTGCACGGAAGCCCTTGCAATGTTGCATTTCTTTGAGAACAACCGATGCAAGTTTTGGCTCAGAGGCGCCTGGGCACTGACCGAGAAAGCTGTTTAGCAGCGTTGCCAGAACGACAGCTGAGAAAGAAGTCAGACCAGCGATTCAAGAACGCTTCAACAATACGGAGCGGCCAGCTTTGCAGCAAGGATCCGATCGGGAACTGGAACATGAATGCTAGCCATGGACTGAGGCTGTCAGTCCGGGCACTACGGGGCTGGCGTCTGTCAGACAACACCCACAGAACTGCCAATGGCGGCTCGGGTTTGTTCTTGTGTCTTTGTTCAATCTACTTAACATCTCCGGCACCTTGTACGAGTTTTCGCTCGGGGGTTTTACCAGCAGTCGCTCCTTCGACCTTCTGAAACGAGATTCGAAGTGGCATCACTTGCCGATGTGCCATGGTGCACGGATGTGCACGGGATGGCCTTCTCCAAATACCTGGCAGCTTCTTGATGCTGCCCCTTGAAGAAGAGGATCTGGCCAGCATGGTAAAGAGGCAGGGCATCATGATCCTTGGTGCGACTTCGCACATGTGCTTCAGTTGGCATGCCGAGTCCGATCCCCCAAACCGTCGCGATGAATTCGATCTAGAGATACAATCACATGCATCTCTCTCGCACACTGTTTGCTGAAGGCACAAACGCACACACACACACACACAGTCCAACCTGGAACAGAACAAGCAGTACAGTAGGCAGGGTTGCAAGGCGCACTCACCAGAAGCACTACAGTAGCGCATCTCGTGCACAAAGATTACCATGCAGGATCACACGCCTTTGAGATGCATCAGCCGTTTGTCACAAGTACACGTGGACCCTCAATCAGAACTGCCACCTAGGCTCTGTGGGATCAATTGTGATGGAACGCTGGTATGTAGCCAGCGCATCATCATATTTCTTAGCCTGTGTCACATCTGTCAGTCACGATGCAGACATGCTATATGATTTTATGGAACCCGAGAACATGTACCGGGTACCGCTTCATCCTGCGAGCTCAGTGCGCCTTCAAATACACGTTGGCGAGGTTGAACTGCACCCTCGCCTGGCTTTGCAGTTTGGAAGCGGATGCAAAAAAACTCCTGGAACCCATCCAGAAAACTGCGGGCGTGACTTGCCCGAAGCGAGGATGCTGTAAACATGCTAGCTGCAGGCTGCTTCACAGCTCGGGCTGAGCGATATCACGTTCGGCCGTCATGCTTGTAAACACAGAAGCTATGCTGAAATTTCAGCCGAGAGGGCTGAGTGCAGCTGGGTCAACCCATCAGCAGTGGTGATAGTGTCAGAATCCTTCCATTCCTCGACAGAGCACGCCGGAACTGCTCCAGATCTTGGGAAAACAGCACTCATACACTTAACTGCAGTTCAACGCAAGGCAGCTCCCAGCTACCACTGCACTTAGTCTGTTCTAGCTTTATCGAGTGGACCTGTCGAGGAGGATGCATAGCAAGCCGCTGGGACGCGCAGGGCGCAGCGCCAAACAGCGAGACCTCCAGCTAAAAGCCTGATGGCACCAGCATGTTCAAGCGGCTGAATGCTCTCCTAATCTCGGAAATCACACGACCCCCCAGAAACGGACAAACAATCCAAGGCTAGCGCTTAGTCGATTGCAGTGAGCAGAACCTCTACCTAACATAGCACAGGCACAGCAGAGATGCGAAGAGCCGCGGGGAGCTTGACCGATGGGCCAGGCAAACGAGGGTTGTAAGCAGGCCTTCAGGGGAAAAAGTCTTCGGCAATGCCCCTGATTCATCCGCACCATTGCTGAAGGTACGTAAATGCCATGTACTACATACATGTGCGTACGCGAAGTCAGGCCAGGTGTTCTCAGCAACTAGATTCCCTTAGAACTACCCGGTTAGTTTGGTTATCTCTTGGATAGCCCGCTGCTGTGAGAAAGCTTCGTCTCCAATGTCTCCTGCCGAAGGGATGTAGAGCAGCCGTTCACCGATCATCGTGCCAACTGGAAAGAGCACATTCGACCTGGATAGCTTCAAATTGACTTGCAGATGTGCTACCTGCTACCTGCACAGGCTTCTCTTCGCAAACCCTCACCAGGAAATGCCCAACAAGAGACATGGCTCGAGCTACCTGCAGCAGATCCCTGTCAGCTCTGTATCTCGCATTCAGATCGAGGGCCTAGCTTGCAGGACAAGAGTCATGGGAACGAAGCTCAGCACGAGAATGGCGAGCCCGATAATAGGACCTTCTGCCGGAGGGCGACCACCCTTTGGCCGCAGCACCTTGCATGATGCAGCTCAGAAGTGAAATGACAAAGGTCCGAGAACATTCGGCTGCTCAACAGGTGCAACTGACCCTGGGTGCAATTGAGCTGCTCCAAGTGACAGGACCAATAGGATGGCAAATCCGAGGTAAGCTGTTACCGGCAACATCAATCGCAGGTCTGCGGAATCAAAAACGAGAGGAATGGCATCAAAGGAGTAGTCGTAGCCTGCCCCAATTCAAGCAGCTGATCGCTTCAGGCCCAGGTTGAGCATGACTGCAGGGTGGCGACTGCATAGGTGGTGGGATTTCGGTCAGATATACTGCAAAGGCAAGGCACAACGAAACCAAACAATGCTTTCCAAGGGACTAAGGAAGGTTGGACATACCAAAAGCTTGGCGTAAATGCCATGCAGCAAGGCGTAGGTTCGCACGCGAACCCATCGATCACTGTGGACAGCCTAAGAAGATATCCGATGGGAAGGTGGGAAGAAATTGCGGCTTTGCAGATAGGAGCATCAGCCTTGCAAGAACAACAACACCCACACAGCAGATACAAAAACGAAATAGCAGTGGCCGCGCGGAGAATTGCAAACAAAACACAAGCTTTTGTTGCCCGACACCCAGGTCCAAACAGTTTCATTTCACTTCCTGCGACGAAGAGACGACGGGGTTGCTGTGCGGATCCATGTTGTCGATTGCAGTCCCACCTGTGTACCTTGGATCTGCCACCTAGACTCGCCAACAAACGCTAAGGCACGACCCCGATTTCTGAAGGCTGGACAAAAACCGGAAAAGATGACAAGCACACTTTGGGGTCTTTCGGATGCCACCAGCATGCCAAACTCTCACGCCACAGGAAATGGTTCCCATAGCCAAGATGGCCAGCAAGCGGAGTGCCCGGAAGACTTGCGACTGGCTGGTGCTCGTCAGACCTCCCGACACAATCCAGCAACACACTGTCGCTGGCAGCCTCTTCAGCACACCGGTTCTGAGCGACTCTCGCCTCGGAGAATCTCCCAACCGGCCAGCAGCCCAAAGAAGCAGAAGCCTCAAGCTGTGACAACATGCATTCCAAGCCACTCAAGCGTCTGAAAGACATCAACCTGTCACACCAGTCCAAGTAACCCTAATCGCAGAAACACCCAATCCCAAACCTTTTCTTCCCTTCCCAGCCTGTCTCTTTGCAGAGCCCGGCTGCCACCAGCAGCACAGCAGCCGAAATTGAGAGCGCTGGTGCTAGCATACCAAAGCCGGCTTTTTCCTGCAACTCAACCCTCGAACGTCCAACCCGCTACTTGCAGTTCTCCCGGAAGTTAATGCTGCTCGTCTTGGCACCGCAAAGTGGCACGGTGACAACACAAAAGCCAGCAATGAACTGATACTGCCGAATAAGCCCCTAGATGCGAAATTCAGTGCAGAAAACTCTGGCGATCTTGTCTGCTGAGAGTTGGAGATGTTCATTGCACTCACCTCCGACTGCAATGAGAAGAAGCGGTTTATGCTTTCCTGTCATCCACCACTACACGCTGTCGGCCGAGCGGCTTTGATGCAGGGTGCATAGATCAGGGCTGCCAGCAGCACCAGCAAGAGGCAAAGGAGGTCGGCCCTGCCCACGATGTAGAGCACCTCAGACTGAGAGGCGCCATGGCGCCATGACTCCCTTGTTAACTACTGGTACTACGACATGCACTGTTGAGACCCTGCTTTCCGAGCAGCGCTCTCTGTGTGCACCGGATGCGCTAGGAAGAGCCCCCCCAGCAGCACAGCCCAGTCCAGGCTGACACCAATGCGCTGCCCGAATACGGCAAGGAGCACCGCGCAAGCCTCAAGAGAGTCGAGCTTAATGCTTGTTGCGGGTGTCCAGAATATCTGGTTGGACTCCGAGAAGTGATATTTCCCTGAACCGAAGGCCTTGTTGGGAGAGTTTTACGTCATGAAAACTGGAGCCCAAGGAATAGGCTCCCTGAGTCCAGGGCCGTTCGACAATCTCCCAAGTCCCCGCGAATTTTCCCGCAGGACTTTCTTAGAGCCACATCTCTGTCAGCCATGGATTGGAAACTGTTCGGGGTATGCAACCATATCTATGCCCTCCTTCGCTTCAACAAGGGACGGCGTTCAGCACAACATTGACGATGTGGAAGCCAGAACCTGAGTCTCGAAACGAGCCGCTGATCCGCAGGTTTGGGCATGCATGCGGCGCAGCTCAAGACCAAAACACTAAAAAGCAAAGGCCGAATCCTGCATGCTGCCAAGCAGCCACCAAACTCGTGAACCGCATGATTCCAGCGGAAGGAGAGCACGGTCAAAGGTCGGAAAGATTTATGGGTCCAAGGACCCTGCCAAGGTGACGAATCCATAGTCTTCTACCACGGGTTTGAATGAGGGCACGTGAACTATACCACAGACGAAGACCTGCTGAGCAGCTGCAAATTCGCACAAAAAGACATTCCGTGCAACACCGCAATACAAACCAGCCTCGAACATGTCAAGGCCCCAGTAGTCCGTCCGGAATATGCGACGCCAATTCAGCGATTCATAGACGTTGGGATTTTTCCTCGGCAGCTCTGACTTCGCGAGGAGGGAGCAACAAATGGCAAGAAAGGGCCACAAGATTATTCTACCGGCCATTGGCTGCAGAATGAGTCTCTTGATCATAGCATCATCCATGAAGAAGCCTTTCGTAAAGGACCACGGCCGCAGAGACCCAATACAAAATCACGTGCTTGCAGGCTCTGCAAATACCATGTTATGTTGGATCGTGAGCACCTGTTTTTAGCAATGCAAAATGCAGCCGGTGGTTCTACCACATCCATGAACTAAGCGTATGAATTTCGCAAACACCCTGCTCGTGTCCCATGCGCCTCCCTCGAAGTCGTAGCTCAGCGCAGGAACCCAGGCCAAGGCTGCGATGAAGGCCAAGCAGCTGGCAGCAAGCAGCAGTGGCACCGAGGCCTTGGCCTGTGACGGCGGATAGGATCGAAGGGGTTCGAAGGGGGTCTCCGAGCGCCTCGGCGCTCGCAGCACGACGGCCCAGCTTGGCCAGTTCTCCTGCGCGCCGGCGAAGGCCTCACGCATCTGCAACAAGGGGTTGAAGACTGGAACGCGACGAGTTGGTCGATAAGCACACAATTGCCACTGCACTTTTTGCTTCTGGTTCGCAGGCTTTGTACATGTGTGCCGCCTTCCTACGTGAGCTTAGCAACTTCTGGGCATGCTTTACATTTTCCACGATGGTCGGACGAGCATTTGGGCTCATGCAGCAGCTCATCGTCATGCTAACCCAGCCACGGCCTTCTACATCAACTGTGCCTGCAGCTTCGCGCCAGAGCTCTGGGGAGGCCTGGCTACAAGAGAAATCCTCATCCATAGTCTTACACCTTCACCTTGGTGGTTCGCTACTTCTTCTGGTGCTGCTGTTCACTTCTTGCCGCAGCAGTGCATTCTATGACCCAGTGCAGGCAAACACTTTCAGCCTGGTTCAGCCCGGCGATGAGCTCACCTTATCGCACCAAACGTTTCTGCGCATGTCCACATGAGTCGCGCTGGATGTGCAAGCACAGTCTGCGACAACCAAGCTCTTGGCACAGCTCATCCAAGGTCTTGACGACAGGCTTTCTGTTCGCGGGCATCCCGACACCAACGAAGAGAAGCAGTGCAAATCCCCAAACGGTGCTGCTACAGCCTAACCTAAACGGACCAGCAGGCGATAGTTGACAAGTTAGAACAATTTCTGAAGCCTCGACCTGTGTGTCTTCTGGCTGGGATATCCGGCTGCTGAGCAACAATTAAACGGCGACGGGAAGTGCTCCAGGGATCTCTGCCCAAGAGCCTGTCAGAAAATCGACAGCACAAGTGACAGGCAACAGCTGCCTCTGTCCTTTTTCCCTCACCGTGCTCTGTGACTGGGCCTGCTCCTTCTTCTATTTAGTCTTTCGACCGGGCAATTCCAGTTCGGAGGCGGCTCGTTCGGATCAGTGTGAAAAGTCGGTGGCAAGTCTGTAAAGATCCGAACAGGACGGGTCGTGCTGCTGGCAGCTGGAGCAGCTGGCAATTCAGACGCCGTCGTAAACCCGTCCCAGGTAGGCGTCATCGGTTTCGCACGGCCCTTGCGGCTGGCACGGCCTCAGCATAGCAACCCCTAAAGGGCACCCTTTTGTAGAACCCTGTAGTGCTTACAGGACACGTATGGGCCTCGCATTAATTGCACACATGTCACGTCGGAATGCAAGTTCGGAGAAGCGGAGCTCTTTTCTCCAGGCCGGCCATCTCACCATGACGTCTTGTTCGCCGGAGGCCAGACGACAAACGTCTCACCTCCCAAGAATCGTGCGTTTGTCTGGTGATGCGGGCCAACTTCCAGGCCAACACCACCAGCAATCACCATCTTGACTTTTGCCCACGGGGTGTACTCCAGCTTGTGGGAGTTGTCTTCTTGGCTTTTCTCGCCATATATAATGGGCCAATTGTTCTTCACACACTGGCTTAGAGGTGAAAGTTCTCTGGCTCGGTTCCAAAGCTGCTTGCTCAGAGTCGCATGGCCACCGTTTTTGGCGGCAACAGCAGCTTCACCTTCATGGGCTGTGCTTCAGTTTTGCCTAACTCACCACCATGTCCATGCCATTTCGCAAGATTTCTCTGGAGGCGAGTGGCACATCAAGACACCGGCCCCGGGGCCAGCCAGATTCAGCAGCGGTACTTCACCAGCTTTGCCTTGCAAGCGTAGGGCAGAACCGTACGAAAGGTGAGTTTCGGTGCACGATTCAGGCGAGGCATACGGGTTCCCCACCTGTAAGGTTGAGGGTTAAGGAGATGAAACGAATAAGAACCCTCTGCTACCAGTTGCACCCTAATCGCTGCTCTAAAGCTCTGCCTGGTCTTGACCTGCGCTCGACGAATGACGCCGAGAATTTGGAATCCTGGAGCGCCAGGTCGTAAAACAGAATGACTTCTGTCAGCACCTTCACCTGAGGTCATGCCATGCATGCAAGCTCTGGCCATGTCCTGCCTGCATCAACTGAATAAGCTAGTGGCGGCATTATCCTCCATTACGCACGCTCAGGAATCGTCTGCATGTCCGAGAAGCATTATTCGGCAGTAGGCTGAGCGCTTTGTCGTAGAACGACTTGGCCTCTTGCGGCCTGTTGGCATCCACATCCAGAAACCGTGCCTGGTAGAAGTTCACATAGCCTCGATTTTCGGTCACATGGCTTTTAATTTTGTTGATTGCATGCCCAGCAAGCCCCCGTCTTCTGCACACTGCTGTATGGAACTTGGAACTTGGCGTGACCTACTGCAAAATTCACGTATGCACGTGTGCGCAGCTGAAAGCTGCAGGATGCTCTTCTAAGCTGATCTTGGGGACTCCAGGCCACATCGGATGAGCATCCAGGACCTGGGAATTGCCTTCGCCGGGGAGCCATTTTCTGGGAACGTCTTGAGGGCCCACTTTCGCAGCTCCGCCGCCACCTCGTCGGTGTGAGAGACACACAGCGGAACTAACAAGTCTGGTCAAAGCAGGGAAATCTACTGCGTGGATCACCACTGCAAGCCTTGGGCTTCTTCATGCCGTGATGGAAATGAGCAGCAGCTTCCATCAGCCGAGGCCCACAATGTTGGCCTGACATATGGTCTTGGCGGGCGGCTTCGAGACTGCGGTGTCTTCGGTCTTGGGAGACGGCAGCAGCCGCCAACACAGCATCGACAGGCGCAGACTAGTAGTAGGATCAGTACCTAGTAGTAGTAGTAGTAGTCGTCGTCGTCGTCGTCGTCGTCGTAGTCGTAGTAGTCATCGTCGTAGTAGT